TCCCAAATGCATGGCCATCAGCATCACATGGGTGACGTTTTCTGAGCCTGTTGGTGATGGTCAGAAGCCATTTCCTTGGCAGGCTACATGGACACAGAACTGAAAGAATGGTTAGGATTAAGGCAGGCATGGAGGGACAAATAGTGTCACTGGAAGTGCTCAGAGAACAAGAAAGATGGCAGGGACCATGAATTTCTATCTGGACAACCCACTGGGCTATTATCCCCTCCTCAACACACTCCCCATGTGGCCAGTAACAACGTCCATGCTCAACACATTTCCTACACATCATTACAAGGTCTGGCACCTGAATCCACCTCCGCTTGATGGGACGAGGACAGTGAAAGAATGTGCACGTCCGCCAGCTACCAGGTGAAGCTGACGGTGCTGGTCCACTGAGGAGCACAGGTTACGGTGGTCAGCTCCCGAGCCTCCTACTTGTGCACAGGTGAGACTCACCTGAGCAAGGCACCATCTGTGAAGCCCAACTGGCCTCCTCCCCCTCCTGCCCAGGCTGCCCTGGCGTCTCGGCCCAGGACTCACCCCCTGAACATTCCTCCCTCCCGACAAGGCTGGGAGCCCGTCAGCCCCAACTCATCCTCTCAGCATCTGGGGCCGTAGGAACGTCAGCATCTCCTGTGCTGGAGCTGCAGCGACGTTGAAGTTATAAATCTGTCACCTGGTGACAACAGCAACAGAGCAGACTCCCCATGGCTGAGGTGTAGGGTCAAGAATCCAACCTCAGGGACCCCAGTTCTATTCTTGGGCTGTGTTTTGTGTTCTTTTATGGAACAGTCAGGTCCAGCCACAAGAGGGGACAGAGGAGAGGCTCAGGAAGCCAAGGGTACTATGCTCCCAGGCCCTAGAGACAGGAGGCATGGCATGCTGTGCAGGGCCAAGGGGAAAGACACCAGGGTCATCTGAAAGTGGAAGACAGGAGGGTGGGAACAGCCCATATTAGGGTTTCCTCAGGAAAAGTAGGGCAGGATGGACAGTGTAGGATTGGCTAGTTTGGATAATTTTGGCAGACCTTGCACTGTTGGGTGGTCTCCCACCACCTGGTCCCTGGCCCTGGGATGATTGAGGCAGAGCAACATTGACCCTCAGGGTGCACAGAGCAGATGGGTGAGGGGTGGCTCTGGACTGGGTGGTTTGCATGTCAAAGGCATCCCCCTGGCTGGGCTCAGGGCTATGTCAAGGCACACAGAATGGTGTCCCCAGGAGGGCCAGTCTCTCCCCATCGACAAATATGTTTTAAGATATCAAAATATCAGAAGACATAGAAAATTATACATAGTTGATATGTGAACAACACTAGTTTGAAGTGTCTGGGTCCATGGATATTCACCTACCTGTGTCACTCCTGAGACAGCAAGACCAACCCCTCCCCTACCTCTCCATCCTCAGCCTTCCCACACTGTAGAGGAAGAGGATGAAGAACTTTATAATGCTCTTCCACTCAATACATAGTAAATCTATTTTCTCTTCCTTTTGATTTTAAGAATGTTTTATTTTCCGTATCTTAGCTTATTGTAAGAATACAGTGCATAGTACATGTACCATTCAAAATATGTGTTAGTGAACTGTTTCTGTTATCGGTGGGGCTTCCAGTGAACTGCAGACTCTCTGTAGTCACATTTGTGGTGATTCGAAAGTTATAAGTGGAATTTCAGCTTTGTGGGGCATTGGCACCCCAACCCATGCATTGTTCAAGGGTCAACTGTATATATACTTTGTACACACACATGCACACACACACACATACACATATATGAGAGATGTCCAGAAAGTTCCCAGCCATTGACGATACAATGAGAACATATTGCATGGCTGGATATTTCCAGACAGCCCTTCTACACACACAGATATACACATATACCACATTTGATTCTGTGATGTTTTGACAACACATTAAGGAAAGCTTTTGGTAAATAGGTGTTACTAGTGGAGATTTCTAGAGATATGAAAGTCACCGGTACCAATATGGAGGAACTTATGTCAAACTAGCAAAATGGAGCCAGGGGAGCCCATAAAACCAAAGCCTCATGCACACGTGCCTGTTTCTGGACTTAGTACAAAACATTCCTGCAAGTAGAACAATAACAAGGCTTATCCCAAAACTTGCTCAAGATTTCAGTTTTTCAAATAAGCCCCTTGCAAAAGGACACTTACCTAGCAATGGCCGTCTTCACCAATGAGCCAGCGACGACTCTGGCAATGAACCTCCGTGGCTTGTGAACTTTGTTTTAAAGTAGCTTATGCGAACCTCTCCTCTTCATCTCACAGATTTCTCCTTCGCCCCGACCTGTCTTGATGTGCCTATGATCTGTCCTCACACGCGTCTCCCAGCCTGTCCTCCCCCGCTGTTCCAGATGAACTCTGTCGTTCCAGACTGCCTGTCTCTCTGAGTATTCTTCAGGTCGACAGAGAGTACAGAACTTCACAGAAGACACTTTATTTAAGGAGGGACACAAATTATGGGGCGAGCCCCTGCCCGAGGTTCCCATTACATGGCATTAGACATGAAAAATAGATCAGAAATGTCTGAGTCTCAAACATATCCTGGTCATGTTGTAAAGTGTGTTAAAAATATGGTCATATAAATAAAATATACTCAAGTACAATAATAAATTAATAAAGTACATGTAATTATTAGAGGTATCTGCATTAATTAAAGGGAGAAAGCAGTGCGCATCACATCGTACGTGCTGTTTGCACGTGTGCAGCTGAGTGAGTCTAATTTATATTCTGTGTATCTCTGAGGCAAGAGATTCCCAGAGCTTGTTTTTAGTTCTTTTAGTTTGTCTCTTTGGGAGTTTTCTTTACTTTTTGTTGTAGTAGCTGTCTTCCATAGTTCTTTACCTTAAAGGAAACAATATTTTAGCAATGGCCTAACACTTTCTAATAAAGGTGCAGATGGGACCCCTTGTCGCCTAGGGCACCCAGTGCTACGGTGACGGCCTGAAGTGTGGCCAAGGGCATTGCTTCTTGGGTCCCGTCCTTATCTGGGCTTCCTGGCTAAGTGATGGAAAGCAGCATCACACCACTGGGCCCCACCATGTCTGACTTCAGCAGTGCCATTCCTGTGTCCATGACCTCCCACTGCCCTTCACTCAGTGAACCCCAAGGGACTCCCAGGTACCAAGGAGGCTAGGGGAGGGGTGACCCCTCCAGCGTCCTGGCATCTGGCAAGGCACTGAGGACAGGGGGAGCCGATCCTCCTGCAAGTGTAAGACACAAGAGGGCCCCTGTTTGGCTCCATCCTGTCTTGGGGAGGCCTCGGTGGCCTTGCTGAGCTGTGGGGCGCTGGTGCCATGACTCGAAGCACAAGGAGCAGCCGTGCATGGAGGGTCAGAGGCTCAGGCAAAAGAGAGCCCCTCTGTCCAGCAAAGCCCAGTAGGTGGCCAGTCACTTGTGATTTAAGGGTGTGCAGCACGAGGCCAGGAGGGCAGCTTCTTCCATCAGAGGCCCTGGGACGACGAGTGGCCATCGTACGTGGTCCAGAGACTGCAGGAGGCAGCAGAAGGGATCGGCAAAGCTTCTACAAGGAAGGACTTTGTGAGGGCACTAGCAGAAGTTTCTGCTCATTCTAATGCGTAAGCAAAAATTGTCAACGTGCAGTATGTTGCCCCCAGGACACAAAAAGACTGACCGGTGTGTTTATGTGTCGGTCATAAGTGAATCATGAACGTCCTCAGGGGAAGGTGCCATCAGCACACTGTCACGCCTGCGTTCCTGGGTAAAGGTGGCGCAGTCGGGATCCTGTCTGCAGAGACTGTGTGTGGAGCACAGCTGCTGAGGGACCCCGTGGGTAGCCTGAAAAAAGCATATCGTGTCTCTTCGGAGGTGGCGGCAAACTGCGGCCGAGACGCTGTTGAAATAGGCGCCGAACAGAGCCAGCGAGCCGACCTATAAGAGCAAACAGTCACTGAGTGTTGACAGCGTGGGGCTAGTACTTTCTAAAATGCTGGCTGTTTGGTATGGGGGCCCTGAGGGCGGGGAGCTCAGTGTTAAGGCTGGAGTCATTAGGAGGCACCCCTTACTCTCCAGGGTTTAAGAGCAGGAGAAACCGGGCTGTCACACGGAGAGCTGGGGGAACAGTCACGCGGCTGCTGAGTCGGTTGCGCACGCTGAGTTCCCACCTCCGCAGGCCCCGCTCTAACGTCCCTCCGGCCGCATTAACTATTGGAACTGGGGGTGCAGGGGCCCCCTTGTACCCAGCCCATGTGTAAGTGTCAAGGACGTACTTTAATTTCAATTCATGATTGTACTAAGGTATCTCAGCCAAATATGGGATGTTTTAGCGCAATGGGTTTTGTACCTAAGCCAAATTTAGGCAAGGCCACAGCGCAAGTGAGGCATAATCATTTCCTTTCTATTTAATTTGTGACTTTTTTAAGGTTAATGGGGTACAATGTTTAAGTTCAGTGGAATCCCCAGGTATAACTATAGCTTGAGCCCTGGTAGTGATTAAGTTCATAAAGTTTTCTCAACTGGTGCTTTTTAGCAAATCTTGAAGTTCACTTAGAATCTACATTGCAGAGGTGCAAAAGCCAAACAGAGCTCTTTGACCCTTTTTTCTTATGTAAATTTATAGTATATATGGTTTGGATTTCCAGTTGGATCAGATTATAGAACTCTAAAAAATTTAGATTCATATAAAATATACATATTGTATATGCATGTACATAACATGAATATATAGAATCTTTTCCAATTCTCTCCCCTGTATCTGTGGATTTTCTTTGTTGCTGTTCGTTTATAAATAATAAGTATTCCGGGGCTAGTACCGTGTTTGCGAGACCTGGCATTTGTCAGTTCTTAAGGTTTGAAATCTCTTTCTTTCTTTCTTGGGCCAGTATCCACCTAGCGTGGCAGTCTCATCTCTCTCCTTTTTTGTCAATCTGTGTTGTCCAAAGTAAACGGCCTCGACTTGGTTGACGTGGAATCCTGATCCCAACTTGTCAGGAGAGGAGCCTGGCGTGAGGAGCTGACCGGGCATCTGAATGTCCCCACACCATTTTGTCACCTGCCACGGAGGGAGCAAGGGGAGCGTCCCCACCTCTGTCCACTGCACTCAGGGCGGACAGTGCACCCGACGAAAGAGGAGAGGGTGGTGACCAGAGGGACCTGGGAGGCCTGGGATAAGGGGGGAGGAGGAGTCGGGCTCAGGGTGGGGGCAGGGCAGGGAGGGGCTGGGGGTCAGGCTCTGAGCTGAGTCTCCTGGGCGGACTCTTGACCCCCTCACTACTGTCTGGGGACACGGAGAATAACATTTAAGCCCCAGTATAGATTCCCTACTGAAGACTGGGCCTTAGCCATAGGGCTCCAGTCCTCCTGCGCCGTGTTGTGAAAGTTCCTCGAGGCTGTGTTTGTAAATCATTCAACAATGCTAGCACATACTGAGGACTCACAAGCAGTCACTGTGCCTGAACCCTGACACATGGAAAATGGCATTCCTCCTGTGGGCACCAGGGGGCACTGTGTGCCTTGTTTGGGGACCCAAATATTTCCAAGGAACCTGGTAGAGCTCAAATGCAGAGGGCGTGACTGATGCCTCTTTTGAGGTCCTTTCTTGTGGGTAAAATCCGCTCTGCACTCACGACACCCACCTGGCCCTGCATCTGAGCTCAGGAAGTTAACCGAATGGGGGCCCGAGGCTCCGGCCTCAGACCAGAGCTCAGACACACTGGGGGATGGGATCAGGTCTGTGTTCACTGCTCACCAGGGAGCTGCCCAACAGCTCCCCTCACAAGAGGGAAGGAAGCAGATTTGCATGAAGAGACTCCCCTCCTGTGATAAGAGAGCCCTGCAGGTCCCTCCCCAGCTGTGGGCTCAGAGGCAGAGCTCCGGGGTCTCACCATGGCCTGGACCCCTCTCCTGCTCCCCCTCCTCACTCTCTGCACAGGTGCTGCCCCAGGCTCAGCGCCCACAGCACCAGGGGTCAGCCTGGCCCCGACCTTCAGCTCAGCACAGGGGATGCTGCAGGGTGTGGGGCCCTCTGGGAACGAGACCCTCACCCTCAGACTCACCTCTGCTGTCCTCTCTTGCAGGTTCTGTGGCCTCTCAGCTGACTCAGGTGCCTGCAGCGTCTGTGGCCTTGGGACAGACAGCCAGGATCACCTGCCAGGAAGATGGCATAAGGAGCTTTTTTACAAACTGGTACCAGCAGAAGCCAGGCGAGGCCCCTGTGCTGCTCATCTATGATAGCAGCAAGCAGCCCTCAGGGATCCCTGAGCGATTCTCTGGCTCCAAATCAGGGACCACGGCCACCCTGACCATCAGCGGGGCACAGGCCGGGGACGAGGCTGACTATTACTGTCAGTCATTTGACATTAGTAGTAATTATCTCACAGCGACACAGGCAGACGGGGAACTGAGACACAAACCCCTTCCTCGTCTGTGTCACTCTCTCCCTCCAGCCTAAGGAGGACTTTGGTCACATGGGTGACCACGGCTGGCTCAGTTGACCCAGATCTAAGACTTCCAGGCTGCCTGGCCATGCAATTGTCCCGGCAGGCTCAGCAGAGGGTGGGTCAGGGGTGCATTTTTGGCAAGGCCAGGGCCGCCCCTGTGCTCTATGTCCCAGGGCTACTGGCAGGAGGGAGGGTCCTGCTCGGTGGTGCCAGTGCTATTTGCCTGGAGGACTGTCTGACACCAGGACACTGGGACCAGGGTCGCCGTGGTTTCTTTTCTCCTTTGGAGTCTCTCACATTGTTTTTTCTTTCTCTCTCTTTTTTTTTGTTCTTCTTTAGAAGCACAACTGGATTAATTATGACATGATGTGTACACACAACACGTTGACAGCATAGTGTGATCAGCACACACACACATACATGTCCTCTCCCTGATGGGATACCTGTGACACTCTGCTGTACTGCCCCCCATTGTCACGAGTGAGAATATTAACAGCACAGTCATGTCCCCAGTTGCAAAACAAAGTCCCTTACAGCTGTTTGATTTCATCACCAGTCCTCTGCACAGTGACAGCCACTCGTTCTAGGGTCCTACTGGGGTGATGGTCACGGCTCCAATGCCACTGTGCATTATTTTTGGACCACAACCCACAGGTGCAGCCAGGGCTCCAGCAAAGCTAACGGAGCCCTTCCCTGCCTGGCACAGATGTCACGGGGAAGGGAGAGTGACTTTAACAGCTGCTGTGTCTCAGACAGAGACAGCGTTTGTTCACAAAGCAACTGTGAGAGAAGAGGCTTGGGGAGCAGATTAACTAGGAGCAGAAGGCTTTGCCCAGGGCAGCAGGAATCCCAGGGTGGGGGAGAACCCAGCGATGCCATCGTGTGGTGGGAACGATGCCTGAGCGAGGAGCAGGACGGGAATGACAAGGTCCTCGATCCCACGCACGAGGAGTCGGCGCAGTGAAGCCGCAGTGCGGGTGGCGTGGAGGTTATACGTAATAACCTGGCAAACAGCTGCTTCTTCATCCTGATTGATGAGTCAAAAATGTCACCAATGTCCTGCTGTCACAGAGGTGTGTGCTGTGAAGGGATGGTGACATTCAAGGAAACCTGTTCTCTGTGAAGACCGATCCCACCAGCACAGGGGACATCCCAGTTACGCCCAAGGCTGTGTCCTCCTCTGGAGCAAAGTCCGGGTGGGAACCAGGTGGCCCCGGAAAGGCTGTTATCTCACCTCCGAGCTCCACCAGAGGCTTCAACTCTCTCAAAAGGGAGAAGATCCCGAAGACCTCACAACACACGGCTGTTTCAGGGCCAATGTCCAACTCTTGCAGATGCAGTGACGAAGGTCGTGGTGACCCACTGCAATGTCTCACTCGGCACACGAGGACCGTTTCACTGGAAAACGTTTAAATAAGGAGGAGGGTGACTTGGACAAAAGGCGCACAATCCTCCTGCTACAAATGGAAATCCAGAGACTGGGCAGAGGAAATGCCCTCAACTGCATGATGGAGACCAAAGGGGAACTGCAGGAGAACTTTCTAGAAAACAGTCAACCCACCTGTGCTGGGTGTGTGGAAGGTGACCCAGGATGAATGGACCTGAAAGCGGCTTAAGTCCCCTCATGCTGCACGGTGGGGACAGCAGGGCGGGGGCAGATGAGCCACCTCCCCTCAGAGAGCCTTCTGCCCCAGGCGAACATGGCAGGGCCGGGCATGTCTGGGCCCACCTGTGTCTCACCTGTCCCCACCTCAGCCGCAGCAGCCAGGACACCCCAGGGAGTGTGAGCTCAGCCCCTGGCAGCTCACCTGATGTGAAACCAGGAAACGCCCTTCAACACACCCGACTACACACCACACCTGCCCAACTCTTCACCGACAAGAACATACCGCGTCAGACACGACCTGGATTCAATCCCAGAGACCCTCAGGTGGCCAATGTCCTTTCCGATGCTCACGCCCCAGACTCTTCCCCCCAGGGCCCCGGCTCAGCTCCTCCCACTCCCTGCCAGTCACAGGTGTGCCCTGCTCCCCTACAGTGGGGGCTTGGCTTTCCCTATTTCCTAATTTTGTATATATCCACCGGTAACTGCACCCCTCGTGCCTGGTGCGAGGCAGGCAGGGCATACGGGGAAGAGGAATCCTCCCTGGGCAGCAGCCTGTGGGGCAAGAGGCAGGGACCTGAGCAGCAGCTTCTGCATCTGCACCTGGACCAAAGGGGCCCCTGAGCCTCCAGCAGCCAGTGTGGAGCGGCCACCAGGGGACAGCAGAGTCACCTGGCAGAGCCCCCTGGGGCTCCGGGAGGGGCCCGGGGAGATGCTGACATGCAGGGAGGTCAGTGACCATCACCTGAGACCTGGAGGGAAATGTGTCCTCTTTTCCCAGAGTATCATCCTTGACACTGACACGTAAATTCTGTTCCCGCAAGATCTGGCTCTTGCACAATCCCCCTGTTACCCTAACACGAGTCCAAGCACTGCATTAACCCGAACACCACGGCATGGGTGCTCACATTCTGTCACTGTCAGACATGCCTCGAGCACGGAATCTGTAACGTGCCCTAACTGCACACTGGGGAAACTGAGGCACCACACCTGTGATCTGCACAGGCACCTCAGTCAAAGGCAGGAACTCACAGTAACTTCATAGCTCTTTAAAACTCCACGTGCACTCGGCAAAGAATTTAATTCAAGCTCAGCTACGCAGAGATTGTGACCTGAGGAAGACCCTGCACCTGTTAAGCCTCATGGTGTCCCCTGAGGAAGAGGCTCCACAAATGCAGACAGACTCACCTCTGAGCTCAGCATGGCCAGGCCAGCCCAGGAGTGAGGCCAGGAAACAGTCAGGGGTGGAGATGTCAGCTGAGACTCTGGGACCAGCAGGGGAAAGAGAATCTCAGGGATAGCAGGTGGCTCTGCTGGGGCCGCCCCTCCCCTCTCCGGGTCCCCTGGGGCTGAGCCCTTCTCTGGAAACCACAAAGCTGCTCAGGCAGCAGCCCCTGGCCAGGGCTGATTTGCATCAGGGGCAGCTCTCTCCAGCAAGGGGATAAGACAGGCCTGGGAGGCACCTGCCCAGCCTGGGCCTC